GCTATAGTAGTAACAAGTAACAGTATTAATGAATCAGAAGTTGACGTTAGACTTCTGAAGCTTTTACGTCACAAAAATATATATTCTCTAATATGCATCCTATGATGATTTACACTATATATGTTATAACTATCGGTATAAAAAAGATATAACAACAAAAATGAGTGTATAGAACTTTTTGGTTCTCGATATATTAAAGACTGAATTGTGTCACGCAAAGCTGTCACGGAGCTTTAAAAAAACAATTACAATTCGATGTGCATAGAATATTTTGCCTCATATATACACATTGTAATGAGTCAGCAAAAATGTTATAACGAAATGTATCCAAAAAAGACAATATTTCGGTTGTTTTGTAAAAGGTTGAATCCAGACGGTGGTCAGGTTGAACACTGTCTGGATTTCCGCCATACATTTTTTACCATATTTTTGCGTATAACCAAGCGCTCTACAATCCTAAAATCTTTGTCAAACTATGCAGTATTTTATGCTCTAGAAGGACATGAATGTCATGTATTAATGCGAGTAAAATAACAATTGTGATAAAGTAACTGCAACCCAAGAATTTGATTTGAAATGCATCATGGGATTAGTCTCTGGAGAAAACAAAAGAAATCCGCCATATTTTGTCCCAAGCTATATCTTAAAATGCCTTGATTATATATAACATAAAAGCTTCTGAGGTCTTAATGACATTAATGACATTTACTCAGGATTTATTTCTCATTCGAAACACCTATTATGTATGAGTATGCCTGAAAATACTGTAGATCTAACTAATCGAGCTTTTCGACAATACATTCACGGATTTCTTCACACACATCATTGGGAGATCTTTGTTGATGATCTTGCTCCTGCGGGGGGAAAGTTTATATGTTATTGAATATTCAAAGTTATTGAATAGTCTAAATTTTTRAATATTTTATTATTCAGTCAATCCAATTAACGTTCTTCAGTTGTAAAGTTTTTTTTTAAATATCCCAGGAAGAATTTTAATAAGACTAAACTTTAGATGAAACAGCTAATTATGGGTAAATTTTATAAAATACATACAAAATGAATATGTTCTGCTGATTCCTGGCAAACTGGTTTACAGAGCAGCATTTGCTGACTATTGGACACTGCCTGCAATACATACAGTAAAATAAGTAATGTTACTAATTTACCATTACAACAATACCAGTAAATATTATATTCAAAGCTATCAAAATGAGGAGCWACCCTCTACACCAGAGCCTGGATTTTACCATTTCTCAAATTTATGAAAGAATAGAAAAGACGAATTTTTTTTTTTTTTTTTGGCTTAGGGTATTTTTCTTGAATAAGATATACCTTTTTTTAAAAAAATACACTAATTACCAATTTATGTTTTGCCTAATTGGCTTGTATTGCGTAATATCTTATTTGTGTGTCAATTACAAATGAAAATATAAGAAAAAATCACTGTCCGGACGCGTAAATATAGAGTTAATTCCAAAGTGGCTACCAATGATGAACTATCACAAGTCAGGTATCGTACTCAAGCAGAAGAGAGGACAACATAGGGTAAAAAAAACTTGGTGCCCATATCTGAACACAAAAACCACTTGAACTTGTGGCATTTTTTTCAGCATAGCAAAGGAACTAAACAATTCATGATATACATACCATACTGGAAAGCTTTTTCTGACAGAGTTATTAATTGCTAAATCTTTCTGCAGTCTAAATATGAAGATATACATTAATAAGTTTTCGACTTACATTTAGCTCATTGTGTTCATTCGGCACTTTCTTAACTAAACGCACAATTCCTGCAATTTGTTGCACGCGTTGCCTATTGATCGACAGGTTGGGAAAAGTAAAATACTGAAAAATAAAAGATAGACAGTGTTAGCTTATCATTCGACCCTTTGCTTTAAGGGTATTTATGCTTGCTACTTTAGGATCAAAACATAATGTTAAGTATTCCCTGGAAAGTCCTTTTTTCCTTCTCAAAACAAGGAAATACTTTCTAAGAATTTTTGCCTTTTGAATAAAGGCAGTTTATATCTCTATGGAACCATCAAGAAAACTTTAACTTCACGAACTCGATGAGCAATGTGTATATGATGTATGCTACTACCATAGTTTGTAGATGGAAATGGTTAGGAAGCCTTTTGTTGTAGGTTTTTGTGCACTTTTTTCCAAGCGTGACCGTGCACAATCTTTTGTTCAACTGATTGTTTTAGCCATACTGGTCACATCTGAATGAACAGAGCGAAAAAATATTCTTTTGACTATTTCTTCAAAATGCATAATGATTTCTAACCAATATTGGAATTTTTCATTTTATAATCTCATAGAGAGTGTTTATTTTCACTCATTTTGCTATTTCCATCGTCCGTAAGAAAAACATACAAAAGAAGTACAAACAAGGCTTTTCAAACCATTCCCCTATGTGAAAAAAAAAAACAAGTACGTAATTCAGAGAAACCGCACTAAAAATGGTCTTGACTGATTCAACCTCAAAATACATACAAAAGATGTACAAAAGAAGTACAACAAAAGGTTTCCAAACCATTCCCTTTATTAACTATGCTACTACTCACTTCAATATTTCCTATGAAAGTTTCTAGTAGGGACACTCGATCTCATACATACTGTAATTAAGCCAGCATGAATTGTTCCCCCTTTTTTATTGTGATTGTTTGGTGAAAATGGAAACGAATTCCCATTCAGTATTATTGCTAGTAAGCAGAATACATTGTAACATTCAATGGTCACTGCTACGCGAAACCACTTGTTTAAATTCGAGATCAAAAGTGCACTTTATAATTGAATCTATACAGTCGGAGAAAACGTAAAAGAAATCCGTTGTAGATAGTGTAAAAACCTTACTATAGAAAATTATATTGTGACTGAGTAAGTCAGGTTTTCTCTTTCGACTGGAAATTTTACGTATACATTTGAGGTCCAATAAATATTATAGCTGCGAAAGAAAATTCCTTATGTAACATCTAAAATTCGGCAGTGATAAAGTCTTTGTATTATAAATACTTTGCTGTGTTATATATGAGAACAAATAAATGTGTTTCTTTGAAATTTAGTTTCTTTTTCGGAGTGTTTTAGTCATATACGACATCGATATGCCCGTTAGTTCCCGCCAAAACACAACGGCGTTCAATGTGTCTTAAAAGAGACATTCTAGTTAGAATTTATGAAAACTATTTAGGATAAGCTTTGAAAGTCTCTGAAATTTCCTACTTGGGCTACACAAAGTCGTACATTATTACATTCATAGTCCTGACATGTACATTTCAACATAGCGTATGCATATCAGTTCACCTTTTTGAAGATGTATACTAACTTTATTCAACTGGTCTGCACTGATGAAAGTTTCAAAATTGTTATAGACTTATTATAAAATAAAATTAAAATACTTACAGGCATTTTTGTGCTAGAAAAGTCCACAATGTGTGCGGTACTTAAATGAGCTTAGTGTCGTTACAGTGTAGTTGCAATAGCAAGAAAGCCCTCTCGACCTAGTCCCGCTCGCAAAAGATGACGGGCTATTGGGGTAAAGTCAATGACGTCGTCTATTACAAAATTATATTCCAAAATATTTGAGAATATTAATCAGAACTTCAGAAGAATATTATAAATATTTATCTCAATGTTTGTTAAACCCACATCTATAGGTTCACTTAAATTTTAACAATGTCGAAATTTTCATAGGAGTATAGTCCTTTTTAAAATCTGTTGACGATATAATCTCCATTTTTTTCAATCTTTATACACACATAATTTCAGTCCTAGGTTTTCATTTGATCAAATTCATTGATGCTAAATGTTTTTCAAACCAATTGAAAAATTACGTCTTCATCGTAAATTGTAAATCCCACCTCGAGGTTGACGGATTACACGCAAAACAAATGTCGCCTTGTCGATTCTTGTTGTAATTCTCATTTATACTGAACCCAGAAAAAAAGACGATACGTAACTACAAAACAATGGACTTTAACAAAAAGTGAAAATCTACTTAATAGAAAAGTTTGAAAAAATCTTTGAAATGGGTTGACGGAATAATGGTTGCTCTAAAGTTTACCTTAACACTTGGCCGATTAAGTCATTCTGCTTCAATCGACGTGGTTCACTGTGTTCTCTGTTACGCAGATCAGAAATTGGTTTTTGGTATGCACATCGGTGATTGTTCGCATATTTGTAGCAATAATAGATTTTTTATGTGATCGTCATTCCTTCGATTTTTGTCGACGAGTCTTATTCTCATTAATTCCATCTTGTCTATCTGCGCCATATTTATGATGATTCTTGAGACAGCTTCCTTTGGCCATTCTGCGCTTCAGTAACATCAGTTTCGTTAGTCGGAGCGCAAACATTTTAATTCCTTGTTGTAAGTTTCCCGTTTTCGTTCTTTTTCCTGATGAACTATATAGAAGCTTAACGATATCAGTAAAAG